AGATGGCGGCCGGCAGTCGGTCACGTGATTGGCGACCAAGATGGCGGCGGCCGGGGATCACGTGACCCGAGAGACAAGATGGCGGCGAGTGCTCTGTGACGTCATTTACGGCAAAATGGCGGTCGTGCGGGGTGACGTCATTTACGGCAATATGGCGGCCGCGAGGGGGTCACGTGGTACGGGGGACAAAATGGCGGCCGGTGACGTCATTTACGGCAATATGGCGGCCGTAGGGGGTGACGTCATTTACGGCAATATGGCGGCCGCGAGGGGGTCACGTGGTGTGGGGGGGCAAGATGGCGGTCGCGAGGGGGCGGTCACGTGGTACGGGGGACAAGATGGCGGCGGGCCGAGTGACGTCATTTGCGGCAAAATGGCGGCCGCTGGGACCGGGGTTTTTTTTTTGGGGTTTCGGGGGGGGGTTTGCGCGGTTTTCGCGGGTTGCGCGTGGCCGGAACGGCGTTCCGGTTCGTGTGGGGGCGGTGGCGGTGCGCGCGGGGGTCTGGGGGGCGTGGGGAGGGGGGCGCCGTTTCGGTTGGGCGATTGCCGGGGACGCCTGCGCAGTGGGGTCCTTTTTGGGGCTTGTCGCGCCGATGACGTCATCGGGGGTGCGCCGCGGGTGCAGTACTGCGGGGTAAGCAGCAGGGGGCGCTGTGCATGCAGTACCGGGGTGCACGCGGCAGGGGGCGCTGTGCATGCAGTACCGGCCGGCGAGCAGCAGGTGGCGCTGTGCATGCAGTACCGGGGTGCAGGCAGCAGGTGGCGCTGTGCATGTAGTACCCGGTTGTAGACGGCAGGTGGCGCTGTGAGTGCAGTACTCGCGAGTAAACGGCAGGTGGCGCTGTGGCTGCACGATCTATATGTAAATGGCACGGGGTGGGGTGGTGGCTTGCAGGGGGTGGGTCTGGCCAGGGGGGCCGGCCACGGGGGTGGGGTGTGCATGTCTGGGGGTGGGCTGTAGGGGATGGGGGTGTGGGGTTTGGCTGGTGGCTACTGATTGCTGGCACCTGGGGTGGGAGGGGTCCCTATATACTGTATATAGTAAAAAGAAGAAAAACTATATGTCTGGTGCAGCAGTAGGAAATTTCAGGCTCCCGGGGAGTAAATGGTTTGGTTTTTTTTAATTTTTTTTCTTTTTTTACTCCCAGGGAGCCTGAAAGTTTCTAGTGCTGCTTTTTTAAACTAAAGCTAGAAGGGAAAACAAAGTTAGAAAGACAAGAAAGGAGAAGGAGAGGGGGAGAGAGAGAGAGAGAGAGAGAAGGAGAGAGAAGGAGAGAGAATGAGAGAGAGAGAGAGAAGGAGAGAGAGAGAGAGAAGGAGAGAGAGAGAGAGGAGAAGAGAGAAGGAGAGAGAGAGAGAGAGAAGGAGAGAGAGAGAGAAGGAGAGAGAGAGAAAGAAGGAGAGAGAGAGAAAGAAGGAGAGAGAGAGAGAGAGAGAGAGAAGGAGAGAGAGAGAGAGAAGGAGAGAGAGAGAAGCAAAGAGAAAAGAGAGAGAAGCAAAAAGAGTTGGAAAAAATAGAGGGAGAGGAGAGAACAGGGACAAAGACAGAGAAAGAAGAGAGGTGGAGAGAACAGACAGAGGGAGGAGACAGAGAGGAAAAGACAGAAGAAAATAAAACAGGAAGACAGAGTGAGACAGGAAAAGGAGGGTGGGAGAACTGAAGAAGGACAGGAGTTAGAGGGAAAGGAAAGTGGTTAGGATTAGAGTGAAAGTGAAAACTTAGGAGTGGGGTGAAAAAGGAAAAGACTAAGAGCAAAAAAACACAAACCAAGGAAAAGGAGAACACTGAGAGAAAAAGAAGCAAGAAGACTGAGATTGACAGTGATAAGGAAATAGAAACAAAGGGTTAGAGATAGATGGAAGTTAAGTTAGAAATAGAACAGTAAAGTGAGGAGCAAAAGGAAGAAATACAGTGGAAAGAAATGACAAAACCACACCAAAAAAAGACAGGAGCCACGGTGGGGAAAGGAAGGGCAGGGGGTATCTTTATTAAGGGTCACAACTTTATTGAAAGAATGCTTTTATTTATACATCAGCAAAATACATGGAAACAGTGTATACAAGTGCAGATACAATGCATAGACACACTGGTCAAAGTCTAATTTACATATAGAGCAATACAGCAAAATGAAGCAGTTAATGCAAATACAGAGCAGCAATACAGAGCAGCAATACAGAGCAGCAATACAGAGCAGCAATACAGAGCAGCAATACAGAGCAGCACAGCAAAATGCAGCAGGTAAGGCAAATGCAATACAGAGCAATACACATATTAACACAAAGCAATAACCTTTTTCTATTTTCATTAGAGGTTGATTTATTGTTACAGGAAACTCAAAACAACAAAAGCACACAGAAAACAACACTCATCTACCATTAACACCCCCTTCAGCTTACACACAAACTCACCATCACTGCCATCACAACTGCTAAATTACTCCCCAGCAATCATTGGTCCTCAGGAACGCAGTTCCCGGGTGCCTCCAAAAAATCCTCCTGCCTGACGAAAACCCCGGTCCCTGGACGGTCTGCGCCCAAACTTTGGTGATGAACGTTGCCTCGCAGACCGACCGGGACCCGGGAAAAAAAAACCCAGCCGGGGGGAAAAAAAAAAAAACCCCCCGGCTGGGGATTTTTTATTCTAAATTTAAAAATGATTTGAAAAACCTGAAAAGCAAAAGTCATATAAGGTTACAACCCTTCAACACACACATACACACACACACACCTCCTTCAGCTTACACACAAACCCACCCTCGCTCACACCTCAACCTCTCTGCTAACCCCCAGCATGCATTTGAGCCGCTCCTCAGGAACGTGGGTCCCGGGAGCCTCCAAAAAAATCCTCCTGCCTGACGAAAACCCCGGTCCCTGGATGGTCCGTGCCCAAACTTTGGCGATGAACGTCGCCTCTCAGACCGACCGGGACCGAGGAAAAAAAAACCCAGCCGGGGGGGAAAAAAAAAAAACCCCCGGCTGGGGATTTTTTATTCTAAATTTAAAAATGAATTACAAAACCTGAAAAGCAAAAGTCACATACACAAGGTTAAAACTAGTCAGCATGTGCTCACACACACAGAGACGAGTGGACACAGACACACACAGTCATGTGCTCTCACACACGCTCACACGCTCTTCCTGCTTACAGGCTCGCTATGGCCCTTACTCGAGACGCTGAAGAACGTGCTTCGACGCGTCTTCTGGCTGCCGCTCCATGACGTCGAATGGTAGATTCTGGGGAAATCAGTAGCCTCGAGGACCTGTGAGACGACAGGAATTGGTCAACTTGTGGCTGACAGCTAGGAATTTTCCCCACTCTGGACCAATAAATTTTCTACCCAATATGCCATAAAAGACAGATGAACAGTAAAGTTTTTACAACTGTTCTACCTAACTATGACTACATGCCAGGGCAGGGCAGCTCCAATCATAAGTGGTATATTATAAGTACATACAATATAAGCAAACGCATACAGTGCAAGTGTACATACAGTGTAAGTAGACACAATATAAGCCGACACAGGTACACGCAATATAAGTATATACAATATAAGCCTATACAATACAAGCCAACACAGGTACACGCAATATAAGTATATACAATACAAGCCTATACAATATAAGCCAACAAAGGTACATGCAATATAGGTACACACAATACAAGCCAACACAGGTACACGCAATATAAGTATATACAATATAAGCCTATACAATATAAGCCAACAAAGGTACATGCAATATAGCTACACACAATACAAGCCAACATAGGTACACGCAATATAAGCCAAGACTTGAGATAACTCTGTGGAAGATTAATTGTTGGGCCCCATACCCTTTGAAAAGATGGAACCTACAGAACAACTGCAGTCACTTGAGGAGGGTGGAAGACACTCCCTCTAGAAGTCCAAGATAATGGCATGGAAAAAAAAGCACTACCAAAGCTGGTAGTGAGAAGGAAGATGGATGAGAAAATCTTGTAATCCTTTCCTGTCTCAAAGAGTAAAAATGTAAAGATGCCAGAATAAGCTATATCTGGGAAGGAATGTGAGTAAAATACTGCCTATATGGCACAAAATAGTGCCTGTAAAGCGTCGAGATGTAACAAAGGCCTATGACACGGAAGACAATAGACACAGACTACATAACACGGACGACACAACATAGACACGGATGGCATAACAGAGACACGAGTAAACTGCCTAGCGCTTTCAACTTATGGACCCGAGATTCGTAGCGCAAGATGAGCCAGAGGCCGATGATGCCAAAGGAAAGAAAGCCCTATGATGATGGCACGTGATGATGAAACATAACTCATTAAAAGAAGTTAGTGCCAAAGCAGTTAAGAGGATGCTCAAGAGGCTCGGTGAGCCTAGAGAAGGAAGCCGACTGCCGGGTGACCGTGGCCGTAGCTCCGGACCTGAAGGCGAGCTCCTCGGGGGAAAGATCCGTGACGACGTCGAGTCGAGGAAGGCGGACGATGCAAAGTTCCCGAGAACGTGGAGATGGGTTGGAACTGCCCTGCCCGGCAAAGGCTCTGGTGAGGCTGAGGAGAAACCCTCTCCCTTTACTTCCAGAGAGCCTGTCCCGCTACAGACCTCTCCGCTAAGCTGACGTGAAATTGCCCCCTGTGATAGTAAAGGTTTTTCCCCTTCTCCCGACCGCTGGCCCCGACACTTAGCTTTTGGAAGAGGAGCGGACAAAATCCATCCTCGGTCGCACGTGGACGTTGATATGTTCTCTGCGTGTGCTTCGGTGTTGCCGTTTCTAAGCTTTGGGTAAGAGCCTCCTCAGGGTACCTAAGACAAAACAGAAAAGGTGACTATTGCCCTCAACAACAGTAATCCCCGGGACTCCTCCGCACCACTCCCCCGGCTCACCTCAAATCTTGATTTGACTCCGGAGGCTGGCCAGAAGATACCTGCAAAGAGAAAAGGTACATGCTTAGCATGCTGCTGCATAACATTCACCTATGAGTCAGCCTGCCTAAACGCCGACTCACCTGCCCTCCTCTGTTCCTTGGCGTACCTAGGGCAGCAACAGCACCTGCAAAGTAACAAAGCAGAAAAGCATGCTGAGATACTGTGAAAACACAACCTCCCAAATCTGACAAATATGCCACACCGATACCTTAAGCTCGCACCCACCTGGCACGGATATGCTCGGCTAGGATAGATTGCAAGCGGACCACCTAAAATAAAAAAAAAGAGATGCTTAAAGCTGCACCAGAAACTGAGACCTCAGCAATAACAATTGCTTCTGTACGCTAGTCAATGCTCACCTCGCCCACTTGGCCTTGACTGCTGCTCTCGGCTTTAACTTCCTAAAAAGAGAGACAAAGAACAATGCTGTAACAGCCACCATTTATGCTTCCTCTACAGAAACAAGTAGTGCCTCACCTGCTTGGGGGAATCCCCTCACCCGGGATGGGGCCCTCTGGCACACATTTAATCCATCTGAATCTGAAAAAAGGTTAGGACAAGAGTCAAACTGTTGCAGGATAACTTAAGAGCTCCAGATATCTTGTGTCCATCTACAAATCCCATCTAGAGTCCAACTACACCCCACATTACAAACTTCAAGTCCCCGGGACTTCTCCTATTGCGCCAGGCTATGCGGCAGGGCAGCGCAGCTCCAGCACAAATGTGTGTGCTGACACCCGTGACGGGACGTGACAGACGACGGGGACGCGACATGGACAGAAATCTCCTGGCAAGGAAAATGGCTGCGACGACTGAGAGAATGCAAAAGGAGATGACCAAGGTGAAACTGATGGTGAGCTGATGAGGCTCAGAGAACACTGGAGGAAAAAGATGCTAACTGAATGATTTATTCCAAGAACTGCAAAGATGGATGCCCGAGAATCCTACGGCCAGAAGCCTCTACCTGCCCTCACGTTCTTACAAGTCCTAGTCCGCCATAATGGATCCTGGCGGGGTATAGCTGTCCATACAGCTCAGCACAAGACCTGAAAAAACAGCTGACTGGATGCTTATAAAAAGAGATGAGAGTCTGAGCTCCCGAGTCAAAAGTTCTATGGCATGGGTGCCAGCCAAGGAACGCTGAGAGCACAGATGCTAAGACTGGTGCCAAGGTTTCTGGTAGGCCCCTCAAAGGGCTAAGATAAAAGACATGAGACAGCTAAACAAGACATAATGCACAACAGACAAGTGACACGATACACACCGGGACTGCTCTGCCCTGCTCACCTCAGCACGGTGATCAAAAGTGAGATTTTGCTTTTAGGGGGCCTAAGGGGCCACTTCTTGGCTACCCTCGTCTCCAGAGCCAACTCAAAACCTCCCCCATCCCAGGAGTGCCGACCCAGCACCTCGCTTTCATCCCCTCTGTGGGTCGTGGCCCTCTACTTATCTCTCGGACATCCGGGGATGCCGGTCCGTGTCGGGTGCGAAGAAAGGCCGCCTCGCCGGCTGGGAAGTTGTGCTGTCACCGGGCTGTTGTCTCTTAGACAGCTATATTAAAGAAAACCAAACATCAACGCCTGACCTTGGCACCACATCGGCCAAAACCCCACAAGTCTGCTACTCACCGTTCTCCTAAGAAGGCCTGGCACCTCGTAACCATAACCCTCTGCCACAGATGTAATTCATCTGCACCTGAAAGAAAGGTAGAACATATGTCAAACACATGCACGATAACTCAAAAGCTGCAAACACCTTATGTCAACCTAGGAATAGCATCTAGAGTCCAAGTACAGCCCACATTACAACTTTCAACTCCCCGGGGCTTCTCCTATTACACTAGGCTATGCGGCAGGGCAGAGCAGCTCCGGCACAAATGTGTGTGCGGACACCCGTGACACGGGACACGACAAACAATGGGCACAAGACACGGACAGAAATCTCTAGGCAAGAAGGATGACTGCGAGGACTGAGAAGATGCCAAATGAGATGACCGAGGTAAGACAGACCGATGGCGAGCTGATAAGGCTCAGAGTGCCCTGGAGAAGGAAGATGCTAAACTGAATGTTTTAGTCCAAGAACTGCAAAGATGAATGCACAGGAGCCCTACGGTCAGAAGCCTCTACCTGCCCTCACATTCTTACAAGTCCTAATCCACCATAATAGAACCTTGCAGAGTGCAGCTGTCCATACAGCTCAGAACAAGACCTGAAAAGACATCTGACTGGATGCTTACAAAGAGTTGCAATTCTGATGCCTGTCTGAGCTCCCGAGTCAAAAGTTTTATGGCCTGGGTGCCGGGCCAAAGAAACGTGGAGATCGTGGCTGCTAAGAATACTGCCGAGGTTTCTGATAGGCCCCTCAAAGGGCTAAGATAAAAGACATGAGACACCCAACCAAGACATAATGCACGTTAGACAAGTGACACGATACACACCGGGACTGCTCTGCCCTGTGCACCTCAGCACTGTGATCCAAAGTGAGACTTTGCTTTTAGGGGGCCTAAGGGGCCAATTCTTGGCTACTCTCATCTCCAGAGCCAACTCAAGACCTCCCCTCCCCGATCCCAGGAGTCCCAACCCAACACCTTGCTTTCATCCCCTCTGTGGGTCGGAGCCCTCTACTTATCTCTCGCACAGCTGGGGATGCCGGTCCGTGTCGGGTGCGAAGAAAGGCTGCCTCACCGGGTGGGAAGGTCCTGCTGGCACCGGGCTGGTGTCTCTTAGACAGCTGTATTAAAGAAAACCAAACATCAGTGCCTGATCTTGGCAGCCCATCGGCCAAAACCCCACAAGTCTGCTACTCACCCTTCTCCTAAGAAGGCCCGGCTCCTTGGGTGGCACGCTTCGGGAACGCTCGGAGGCCAACGCCGTCGTCGTGGGGTACGCCTGGGTTAAGAAGACAGGAGGCGATGTGGCATTGCTGAAAACTGACTGGACCCTCGGTCCTCCTCCCTACTTCCCTGACTCACCGCAACTCCTCGGTGGTTCCTGACTGCTACCCGGAAGACAGGGCTCATCAGGGTGAAAAATTCGGTCCGTCGGCCGGGTGGGGATGGGAGCTTGGCGTGCTCCGAGTGGATTGCCTAAGGCACAAAAACGAGAATGGAGACTTAGACTTGCCCCCTTAGAATTCAGACCTCAGCAACAAGAAAGGCTACTGCTCACCTTGCTCTCTTGAACTTGACTGCTGGGATCCAGCTATACTTCCTAAAAATAAAGACAAAAAACAGCGCTGTAATAGGGTCACACTTGACACTCCCCCTGCACAGACAAATGGTAACTGACCTGCTTGTGGGAACCCCCTCACCCAGGATGGGGGGCTCTGCCATGGATGCAATGCATCTGCACCTGAAAGAAAGTTAGAACATATGTCAAACACCTGCAGGATAACTCAAAAGCTACAAACACCTCAGGTCAATATAGGAATAGCATCTAGAGTCCAAGTACAGCCCACATTACAACCTTCAACTCCCCGGGGCTTCTCCTATTACACCAGGCTATGTGGCAGGGCAGAGCAGCTCCGGCACAAATGTGTGTGCTGACACCCGTGACACGGGACAGACAGGACGTGACAAACAATGGGCACACAACACAGACAGAAATCTCTGGGCAAGAAGGATGACTGCAAGGACTGAGAAGATGCCAAATGAGATGACCGAGGTGAGACCGATGGCAAGCTGACGAGGCTCAGAAAACACTGAAGGAAGAAGATGCTAACTGAATGATTTATTCCAAGAACTGCAAAGATGGATGCCCGAGAATCCTACGGTCAGAAGCCTCTACCTGCCCTCACGTTCTTACAAGTCCAAGTCTGCCTTAATGGATCCTGGCGGGACATAGCTGTCCATACAGCTCAGAACAAGACCTGAAAAGACACCTGACCGGATGCTTCTAAAGAGACAAGAGAGTCTGATGCCTGTCTGAGCTCCCGAGTCAAAAGTTCTATGGCATGGGTGCCAGGCCAAGGAATGCAGAGATCACAGATGCTAACAATGATGCCAGGGTTTCTGACAGGCCCCACCAAGGCCTAAGGTAAAAGACATGACATATGCAAACAACACATAATACACAAAAGACAAGTGACACGATACACACCGGGACTGCTCTGCCCTGTGCACCTCAGCACTGTGATGAAAAGTCAGGCTTTCCTTTTATGGGGCCTAAGGGGCCGCTTCATGGACACCCCCCACCTCCAAAGCAGACTCAAAAACCCCTCCCAGTAATTCCCAAACCAGCACCCTGCTTTCATTCCCTCTGTGGGTCGTGGCCCTCTACTTATCTCTCGGACATCTGGGGATGCCGGTCTCCGGTGCGAAGAAAGGCCACTTCGTCAGCTGGGAAGGTCCTGCTGGCACCGGGCTGGTGTCTTAGACAGCTGTATTAAAGAAAACCAAACATCAGTGCCCGATCTTGGCAGCCCATCGGCCAAAACCCCACAAATCTGCTACTCACCCATGCTCCTAAGAATGCTCAGCTGCTCGGGCCGCATGCTTCGGGCACGCTCGGAGACCGAGGCTGTCGTCACAGGGGGTGCCTGGGTTAAGAGGAGAGGAGGTGATTTGGCATGGCTGAAACCTGAGTAGAACCTGGCTCCTCCTCCCTACTTCCCCTACTCACTGCAACTCCTCGGCAGCTGCTGAAGGCCACCTGGATGGCACCTTTAAATAGAGTTCAGGGTTTCATCACCAGGTCCTGTAATGCATCCGCAGGGCTCACACGTGCAGGGAACCCGGTGCATCGGCCGGCTGGTGACGGGGGCTTGGCAGGCTGCGAGTGGATTGCCTAAAGCACAAAAAAGAGAATGGAAGCTTAGAGCAGCACCAGAAACTGAGACTGGAGCAATAACAGCTACTTCTCTCCACTGCTCACCTTGACTGCTGGTATCCAGACTTAGTTCCTAAAAAGAAAGAAAGAACAGAGCTGTAACAGAGTCACCACATACACTTCTGTTGCAGAGACAAATGGTGCCTCACCTGCTCGGGGGAAACTACTCACCCGGGATGGGGCCCTCTGGCACACATTTAATCCATCTGAATCTGAAAAAAGGTTAGGACAAGAGTCAAACTGTTGCAGGATAACTTAAGAGCTCCAGATATCTTGTGTCCATCTAGAGTCCAACTACACCCCGCATTACAAACTTCAAGTCCCCGGGACTTCTCCTATTGCACCGGGCTATGTGGCAGGGCAGAGCAGCTCCGGCACAAATGTGTGTGCTGACACCCGTGACACGGGACAGGACGTGACAAACAATGGGAACACGACACAGACAGAAATCTCCTGGCAAGGAAAATGGCTGCGAGGACTGAGAAGATGCAAAAGGAGACGACCGAGGTGAGACCGATGGTGAGCTGATGAGGCTCAGAGAAACCTGGAGGAAGAAGATGCTAACTGAATGATTTATTCCAAGAACTGCAAAGATGGATGCCCAAGAATCATACAGCCAGAAGCCTCTACCTGCCCTCATGTGCTTTCGCGTCCTA